AAAGCGTCAAAGCCCAGCCCGGCCCAGCCCGTCAAAAATGAATGGACTAAAAATTATTGACACCACACCACTGGCGGTCCCAGGGGGGGGGGGGGCCACGGGGGCCATGGCCCCCCCTTTGGTGCTGAAAGGTGGGGCCATACTATCTTTTGGCCCCACCTTTCAAATCGAACAAAAGTCCTAGAAGAGCTTTTTGTATGTTTCATTTTCTTTCTTGAGCCATCAAAGGACGTGAATTTCAGTCATGAGTGGGTTCAGTTTCGCATTCTGTCAATTTGGCGGTCAGCGTCGCTGGCACCGGTTCACGAGTATGGCCGGATCTTATATGGAATATCAGCGTGGGTTTACTTGAGGCTCTCGTAGGCCCAGCAATGGCTGGCATGAGACCCTCTTCGGTAGTGGCGGGTGGGCCCTGCCAAATGAGCGTGGCTCTACGACACTAAAGTAAGACCTCATGGGTTGGTGCTGTGCATCTCAGAAGCCCGGTGGTGACGCCGTATGCCGGCTTGGTTTCTTAAGGATTAGCGTGGGACCTCCGGGGCCAGCATAGAGTTTGCATGAGCTAGTATGTAATCTCAGTGGCCTGTGTGTAATGTGTACACAGTGGCGGTCGCGGGGGGGGGGCATCAGGGCCATTTCCCCCTCCCCCAAAGGCACATAAAGGGGGCCATCATATCATTTGCCCCCTCCCACTCAAGCAACCGATGGGCCCCCATAGGTGTATGGAGCCCTGGCCCTGATTCGATCGTCATGAGGCTAAAAAATCCCACGCCCAGCTCCACCGATATAGCTCCCACACCGGTCTTTGAGCGTCCTAAACTGACCTCTGAGGGAACTTCAGTGGCGGTCAAGCGCCCACGTTGACCACTAAGAGCCCACATCGACCTCTGAGGCCCCACCTCTGGCCCAAGGGCCCCTAACAGGCCTCAGGGACCCCAAACGGCGTCGAGGGTCTCATACCGGTCTCTGGTGGCCTTATTTCTGTCTCTGGTGTCCCAAGACGAACATTTAGGTGCCAATGAGGGCCTCGCACTGGCTGCTGAAGACCCGATGCCGGCCTCTAAGGGCCTGCATTGGCCTCTGAGGAGGGCCCATCTTGGCCTTTGAGGGCTCTCTGCTGGCCTCTGGGGTCCAACGACGGCTCATGCCGGTCTTATAGGGTCCCACGCTGACCCCTGAGGGCCCCGTGTTGGCCTGTAATGAGTAATTACCCACATTAGCCTCTGACAGCCCAACTCGGTCTCTGATGGTCTCAAACTACTGGCCTTTGCAGTTTGCAGGCCCTGTACTGGTCTCTGAGGGCCCTAAACTGGCCTCTAAGTGAAAACATACATGGGTGGGCTTCTGAAGATCACAGGGCTCACGCAGACTCCTGCACAGCCTTACGTTGGTCCTGATCGAGGTTACTTTACGTCCTGATGGTCCCGCGCAGATTCCCTCCTATTTCGACGTCGGGGCCCCATGAGCCGGTATGGGTCCTGGGGCTGGCAGTGACTGATGAAGTCCTTAGGGCTCAGGGCCAGTCTTTTTAGCAGTAGGACTAGGCAGATTGAGTGAGCCCCAATAGAGCCGTTGCGAAGCCCCACAGAAGTCGCGCACGGCCCTCAGATGCCAATAATTTTGAAAACCAGGAACCTGTGGGGGTCTCCAGAGGTCGGTCTACCAGCTCTCTCCCGCCGCCACACAACTATACCTATCAGGGGTGTCGATTTCTCAAAATGGTTGGGGGTGCTCAACCCCTGCACCGGGTGAAAGATTGCAGCTTTGCCATGGACACAACCGTACAAGGCATGGTTGGGTATCCCCATAAGGTACTGATAATCCCGGGATTTCCACTAATATTTCCCAAAGGTTGAACGTTCTTCAAAATCATTCTGCTCGTCCTAGTACTTGACTACCTCATTACATAAACATCTTTCCAAAAAAAGTCGTACATTTGCCGGCAGCTCGGTAGCAGCCCCAGCACCTCTGTAATAAGGTGACAGAAACCGATGACCGCGGTTAGCACCGGTGCAGCAGCCCCTGCGGTCCACAGGGGCGGACATTGCGCGGGAGGCAACGGTATAGCTACGAGGCTCTGGCGTTAATCAGACGATCACAATAATCGCTAAAAAAATGACAGGTGATCGCATTTCGATATTTATGGGTTTACGATTTTCCTCAGTGGCGTAGCCAGGTGGGCCCGTGAGGCACATGCCTCATTAGGTTCAGGGGCCCATCGGGTTATTCGGGCCTGAGGGGCACTGCGGCGCCAATTGGCCGCTGAGGGTCCAGGTTGGCTATATTTGGACTCAGAAGGGCCCCACAAGGCTCGTAAGAACACCTCATGGGCCCACAAGTACCAACATTAAGATCTTCATAAGGGCCCAAACCAGCCTCTGAGGGCCACTTGCCGGCCTCTGTGGGTCTTAACCGGCCTATAGGGGGCCAGCTCTAGGAGCTGCACACCCGCCTGTAATGGCCCCACACCCATTTCTCTGAGGGCCCCTATAACGGCGACTGTGAGGGCCCTCACCGGCACCCCTGAGCGCCACACCGGCGTCTCTGAGGGCCCCACACCCTTAACTCTGAGGCCCTACACCAATTCCTTTAAAAACTCTACATGGGCGGTTCTGAGGGCCCTTGTCAGTTACCAGCGACCCTGACGGCCCCACACAGGTGACTCGGAGGATCCCAGCGGCGTCTGAGCGCACCATGCCAGTCTCTGAGAACCACACAAGGCTCCTGAAGGCACCGGTGACCTCTTGATATCTTCTTGTCGGCCTATGAAGGGTCCGTTCCGTAACAGCAGTTCTGAGGGCCCCACGCGCGCCTGTGATGGCCCTAAACCAGTGTCTCTGAGAGCCCCCACAACGGCGCCTGTGAGGGCCGTCACCGGCGACTGTGAAGCCCCCACACCGGCGCCTCCAGTCCGAGGGCCCCACATTGCCATATCTGAGGGTCCCACACTAGTGCCTCTTAAGGCCCTATATCGGTGGCTCTGAGGGCCCAACATCGTAGCTTCTGAAGGCCCCACAAGTGCGCATGTGACGGCCACCCTGCCACCGGTGACATTTGAAGGCCCCACACCGGCGACTGAGGGCTCCATCGGCGTCTAAGTCCGTTCCGGTCTCTAAAGACGACCCCACAGGGTTTCTGAAGGTACCACCGGCCTCTGATGGCCCTTAGCCGGCCTCTGAGGGCCCGTCGCCGGTCTCTGGAGCCCCCTGCTGGCTTGTAAAGGATACGCGCCAGCAGCTCTAAGGGTCCGACACCCGTGTACGACGGACCCACACCAGTGTCTTTACAACTTAACGTCTTTTTTCGCTCTTCTTCTTAAAACTAACTTTTCTGGCTTTACATCTTTATTTCATGCCTTGTAAATTGCGTAATTGTTTTATTTTTATTAGTGAAAGACTGCAGAACAATTATTTTCCTCAAGCAGTTAGTGGGAGTTATTGAGGGACAAAATCATTGGGGGTGCCCGGAAAACCATTGGGGGTGCTCATTTGAGCATTGGGGGTGCTGCAGCACCCCCAAAGGTATACAAATCGACACCCATGATACCTATTGGTAAATGTCATAGTCTGAAAATGCTCTCTGGGTTTCACATGCTTGTTCAAAACAAGAGGTATCTGTATTTTCCGAATTGTTTTATAGTGGTAAGGTCATGCATCCGCGTGCCCGACCTTCCAGCATATGCTACACCGATCCGTCGTCATGGTGCAGTGGCTTGACCGGTGGAAACACCGTGGGACGAGAAATGGAACTGGTGATTTTGCCTTACATTGAGCTTAAAGATATCACGCAAGAATGAGATGGATGAAGCATAAGTATTAAGTAATGCCAACCACGCGGCGCCTCGTGGGCGTAAAAAATTAGCCGATCACCTTAGCATCAGCCGATTAGCCGATTATCCCCCCCTCCGGTGACGGATAAATGTTATGTCCCGCGAGTGTGACTTTGGCCCCCCCTTTTGCTAGCGGCTGCGACCGCCAGTGCACCACACAGGTATCCAAAGGTAGCAAAGAAACAATCTTTTGCGAGCAGCATGCACAATGCACATTGCATGCGTGCTTTATTAACCCGTTTCTGAGTCTTGCACTGTAATTAAGCTATGTAGTTATAGTTTTTGTCTCAGTTGCGAACCCCTGACTCTACTTGACAGGTTTTGGCCCAGCCCATCCACAGCCCATCGATCCTTCATATTTGAGGGCCCAGCCCAGCCCGTAGCCCAGCCCAGCCCATAGCCCACTGGGCTGGCCCGGCCCATGGCGAACACTGTTTTATCCTCATCATTGCATTTCTTAGCGTGTGTTGACTCTGACTCGAGAATAGCCCTGTGATTCCGATCTCATGAAGGGATGAGTCTATGACGTAAATACAATACAATACAATACAATACAACTATATATGAATGCGCGGAGTCGTTCCTTGGCCAATGGCCAGTGCGCGGAGGCGCTATACCAGCCATACGCGGAGGCGTGTACGGCGGTACAGTCTACATGCAGGCGCTGTACTGTAGTGTCATCTAGCGGCAGTTTTGACAACTAACGTGAGAAACCACCGCGCCGGGGGTTCGCCGCATGGGAAGTGTTCGTGTCGTGTCATTTTTGGGTTATAACCGTCTCGTATGCTATTGAATGACTGTCGGCTGATTTTGATTTTCTATTCAAACTCACCACAGCTTTGTTTCTAACGGGTGTTGAAACTTGCCTTATGGCTTGCATCTGTCCGTTCCTCAGCGCTATGCTCGGTGTGAGTAAACCATTGCCGTCTTAAAGCCGTTCACTGCGCCTTCAGTTCATACACATTCCATTGTTCGAGACAGCTTTTAACAATACATGAAAATACTCATGACTGCCTGAGTCGAACAAGATAGCAATGTGGCTGCACAGTGCACAGTCAACAACCCTCAGTCACATAAGGATAACCAAGTCCAAGAGATCGACACATGCATAACATACACACTACACAGTCCCAAACGCTCTTCCAAAATCTTCACAGAAATAAATTCAAAAATGTGTCAATGGTATATTTGTATTAATACCCAATATAACGTGCCCAAAAGTTCTATTCGGGAAACGAGTGCATAAGTGACAAATCATATGCTACATAACCGGTTAGATATTGCGTAATTAACAAACTGAAGATTGCACCTTATGTTACGAGTAAATATAAACATCTCAACACATAGAATGATCACCATTAACAAGACATGACATTTTTGACACTGAAATTGGTAAATAGTTGAGCTACACAGGATACAAACTGAACAAAATGAAACCTCTTTCGTGTTCAATCAATACCAAACGCACTATAATAAAATCGAACAGGCTAGTTAGTAAAAAGCGGAGGCATTGATCAAACTAATATTTTCATCTCGAATACATATTTGGTGCGCCAACACTGTAACCTCAAGCATATATCTTTTTCTGCAGGGACTAGGTTTTGTTATCACACGTGATCACTAAATGAAGACACACAATTTCATGTTTGATGCTCGTAACATAAATATTCACTTCACGAAACTTTTCCAATAGGCACGTGCGCTTCCAAAGGGTAATATAATTGGGATGCGATGATTTTGCTGAAAGCTTAGGTGTTATACAGGGTTATTCACCATTTAGCGTCGTTTGAAACATCTCGTTAATTATCCCGCATAAGCGAACCACAGGTGGCCCTATTTCACACACAGCAAACGACACACAAACACACCATAGAATCTCACACTGCGTAACAAACGAACAAGCAAAGAAATAATTCGACAGCGCTGTCGTTGTGCTAAGGTGCCACCCAACAAGCCCAATGGTGTCAATATACATCCGCCAAAACCTGTGTGCCACAAACAACACACGAATAAACCCACACACACACAACTCGCGGTTGAAAGCGAAAACGAAGACCGACAGCTTCTATATCAGTCTGTTCATCTAAAGTGACGAAAGAATAAATGGCATCTTTGCAATAGATGTCCTCTGATCGTTATCACAAACATAATCAACAGAACAAGGATCATGAGCAATTCGCTGGCTCAACGGTCCATCAACAATGACAGTCCAAAAGGCTGTCGTACTGCTCTCGTGACGCAAACTTTCGCCATACCTCAGAGTAAGTGGCGACATATTTAACTGAAAACGAGGCCCTGGGTGATAAAGATAAACAGGAGGCACTGAAAGTTTTTAAATATCACAAATAATCTCCTGACTTTTCGAAGCGATATTTCTATACCAACAGAGCGTTACAGTCCTACATTACCGAACACGAGGCTACAGGCTAAGGCAGTGCACCAACACAGCAAACATAGCTCTCACAGCTGGCTCTTCATTGACGGCAAGCTCTACCGCACAGCTTCAACCACTCCTATCCTGTCGAGACGCCACCCCGAAATTATTCGATATTCTAGCTTTTCAGTTTGAATCGGTAATTTGAATCAGCAAAAAAAAAAATGAAAAGATAAGACAGCCAAGACTAACGAGAGGCATCAACGAAACGTGTAACACTGTGACTACAAAAAATAATTATTTTACGGAGCATATCTTGTCTATACGTAGAATGTCATCACAACAGTAACAAACCATAACGTAGCTTTTCAACGCAAGAAATACCAATGCGTTGACGAATGACTGAGCAAAGGCAACATTTTTTTCATGTTACAAGAAACCCCGAGATTTTCCTTCATCGGTATCACATTTGTAACCGCCCGCAAGCCTTGCCATCTGCTTTAGCGTAAATATTTCAGCGGGGCGATCCTTTACCTACAGTGATTATCACCTAGCTGTACGCCTTATCGTCTTAGTAATCTCCTCGAACAGTTAACTCATTCATCAAATCCTACCACTTACTGACCCACATTGCCATCTCTTCCTCACGAATCCCTTCAAACATGTTCAATCTCAACCAGCTGCTGCTACATCCTGATTGTCACCAAGCTCTTCAGCATGTCTTCCCACCTCCTTCACATCAGATCATCCCACAACGTCTTCCACTAGGCATCCAGCTTAGCCAGCTCATCCTTGTAGACTCGGACACTCTCGTCGTCATAGAGCACGAAGTAGACGTCCTTCAGGGAGGAGGCCATGACGTTCACGAAGTAGTCGTGAATGGCCTTCAGGATGATGCGCGCGGCGTCCGACTTCTCCAGACCTCCTCTGTAGGATGAAATAGATGGTGGGTTACATCATAGACGAGCGGTATTTTGAGTGGATGGTGCAGTAATCATTTGTTTCGGTATTTGAAAGCGTGCATCTCCGATATTGCATATGTGTTGCGATAGTGTTGTGTTGTTACCGTAGATAGTATGCTACCAATAAATAAGTAGTAGGGCGTCTTACCGATGTTAACGGTTGCTGAACGTATCCTACACAGACACCAGCAAATATTTGCTACTAGAATTGTTTTTATTTATGTAAAACAGAAAAGTTCATATTCACTGAGGATTGGCAGAAACTTTTGGCTGCAAGGCGGATTAAACCTCGTCATATAGTAACTGGGAACTGGGACAATGACAGCACCCGAGTTCATCACTTGGTCGTCACTTTTCCCAAGCCTACTAGCGCTCTCTACTCCATCTTACCTGCCACTGCCGATAGATGGCAGCGCGATCGAGGCCAAGTTCTTCTGGTCTGCCACCGCCAGACAGTTCTTTACAGACTTGGCCAGCTTGTCCTCCACGTTCGTATCCGCTGAAGGGGGGACCGGAGAGCGTGAAAACGCGGCTTTATCTCACTTGAGGTCAGCTAACAAGGATAGACGAGAGGCCAGCTCGGTCAAAAGACTTACCGACGAACAATCTCGTCCCGTCGCGAAGGTAGTGGTAACACCCGTCCGTCGTTTCCATCCTCAGGATAATCAAATTTTCTCCTCCACGCCTGAACCCCTTTCCAGGCTGGACGTCGGACAACTTTATCCCATGCGGGAAGCTCCGTCCCAGGAGCAGGCCCATAGCCGGGTGTGGTGAGTGTCAGGGGGCTGGGTGGTCTGTCTGTCCTCGTGATGGGCTCAGTCCCGACAGGTCTACAGTGTGCCCACCTAGACCAATGTCTCCCCCTAATTCCTATCATCCTCCCGGCTCTGAAATGGTCTCGTCAGACCGGAAGAACCAAACCCAACAAAACAAACAAAACAAACAAAAACCAAAGCAGTGGTATGCGCCGACAGCTGGGTAGTCTCCAGGTGAAAAGCGAGGTAGGTGAAAATAAGCAAACAAACTTTTACAGGTCACATCGATGCCGCTGTTTATTATGATAGTGGAATGACTTTAATTAACGTTACATGAGATCAAGATATGCGTGAAAACAGCAATGCTCCCGCGGGTACCGGGGCCCGATCCCTAACGTCCCTCAACTCACAGTGTGTGGGCCCGTTCACGTGTATGATCCAGTCGGCGGGCACGTGACTGGTCGGAGACAGCGTGGCTGTAACATAGGCACAGTCACGTGATCAGACAACGCTAGAAGGAACAGGGTTATCGACTGCCGAAACGGCAGGGAATTCAAATGCAATTCCTTGCACCTGTACATGATGAACAATGGCATCACATGAACGATGGTACAGGCAACAATGATCAATGACATGAAAAAGGTGCATGTCTTAGTTCGTGCCTCTCAGTCTAACCTAGTTTGGGTTTAAATGAAAAATAGCCTGATAAATAAAGTCAGTTACAGCTATGCTATCCATTCCCTTGCAAATGTAAATTTATGAATTCACCTAGCATTTTCCCTGACAGAGAACCTGCACACCTTTCGCCCAACCAGCTCTATCCCTCCTACCTCCTCTGCTACTCTCTCTCTCTCTCTCTCTCCCTCTCTCTCTCTCTCTCTCTCTCTCTCTCTCTCCCTCCCTCTCTCCCTCTCCCTCTCTCTCTCCTCCCCCTCTCTCACCTCCACAGGGCGCCAGCGGACCATGATTCTTAATCAGTTCATCCAGCGCCTTCTTCAGCTGAAACCCCTCGGCAGCCTCCAGAGCCGCCCCCACCTGACCCGCCAGGGGGAACTTGGAACCGGTCGGGTGGACCACCGCCTGCACATTGGCCGCGGCGATGTCCCCCTGGACGACGTGTAGCTGGGGGGGGGGGGGGGGGACGGGAGGGGTCAGGGAAGGGTGACGAATAAAGGTGAAAAACATTTTAGCAAGAGAGCAAAATACCGACATTATGACATATAACTAAGCCGAATATGTAAGGCAAACAGTGGCCAAAGGCCAGCGAAAAGCTGCCACCGAGATCTTAATTAAATGGAACTTTATTATGAAAAAATAGCAAAAAGTTCGACGATGCTCGCACGAGAAGACCTGAGGAATAGAGATATGATCTCGCGAGGTTTGCAAATGAGAACATGGTAGTCACGTGCATGGTAGTCACTAAAACAACCCCTGTTTGATGTGTGTACCGTTTGTCCAAGGAAGAGTTTCTTCTTGTAAAGCGGATTCAGACTGGCGTTGGCCTTGGCTCCTTTTCCAGAAGCTGCGTAATGACATGGAGAGAAATGAATCAGGATTGAACAAAACAACGAAATATCCGACCTCCACGCAAAGTAAGCATGCCTACATATTCAGTCTTCTTTAAAGATAAATTTAACCTTGCCCAGAAATCGTCTACGATAGCGTTTTCAGTTTAAATATCATCTCAGTCCCTGCAGAGTACTTAGCAAGCATGAAACAAGACGTCTCTTTCTTTCTTCTATTCCTCTCCCCCTCTTTCTCTACCTCCTTCCCTCCCTTCCTCTCCCACCAACGCCACCAATACACCAATTAAAGGGACTATCCCACCTTTAACATGGGGTTTGAGTTGAGATAGCCAAGTTTGCGGCGAGGTTCAGAAACCACTATCTATCTAGGTTGCAACCCCCGCGGCCTCTTGGTGTTGAAGAAATTCGTTCCCTTCATTTGAAAATGGGCCTTGTACAAGCCCCTATCTTCAACATGGAGCGACCGTTAGTGTGACGTCACCTCGTTTAGTCATTCTGATTTAAATGGGTTTGTTCGTTGAAAAATCGCTTAAAACTTGGTCTGAACTTTGTTGTGGTGCCTACAGAGTAAAAAGAATCAGCTTTATGACAGTAATGTGGCCTGGGGAAGGACGCAATTTTGGGCTGTGACGTCACATATTTGAAAGTTTGTGTTTGGAAAATGGGAAGCCTAAGATGTTTATTGAAAAATAAATGCCAGAACCGTGTTCCTGGTCATCCAATCTATAAAGTCGGGCACAATTTAACTGGTTTTAACAACATTTTAGAAGGTGGGATAGTCCCTTTAAATATCCTTCCCAGCCTCTACCGGCCTCCCCCACACTAGCTGACTTCACCGACTGACCTTTTTTGGGTCGCGGTGTGGGCGCTACCACGCCGACCTTTTTCTGCGCCGGGGTCACCACTGAGGACGCCGAATACTGCGGGGGCACCGCTGTGGTTGACGACGCTGTGTAGGTCAGAGGTCAGAGGTCAAGGTCAGTAAACAAGGGCCAAGATAGGAAGAAACTGTCATCGCACAGGGTCAAGGTCATTACGGAAGGAAAAATCACGCATTTGTGTGATAAAAATGCCACTTTTATTAATTATTTTGCTTGATCGTTTCATGGGTTAGTACCTCGTTGATGGTCTGATAACTGAGTTCAATTCAACAAAGGCCTGTGCCTGTGGACTGGTATCAGAGATTAGATTCAGAAGTAAGAAAAGCAAGAAAATGATGACTGATGAAAATCTGGTACTATAGCTTCAAATCAATCAACGTCATTCTGAAATCGCCAGTCATCTGATCAATCTGCCCTCAGAAATTCCTTCATCTGACAGAGATATTCGATATACTGACCATTGGGGTCTCCCTTCTTCATCAGCAGAAGAGGATGGACCCTGGGTAGTACACCTCCCTGAGGTATCGTAACGCCACGCAAGAACTGAAACAAAAAACATCACTTTGGTTTCAAAATGTCGTAAATATTGTAACAAACCATGTCCAATGTCCATGTACATTAGTATAAGAAAATAATGTACAAGCTGCTGTCTTCCATCGTTTCTTAGTCTACAGTTTTCTGTCGTTCTTTACTTACAGTACCCTACCTACAATTTTATATGTTCCGCCTATCCTGTGCAGATTTCCGTCTTTTTCACTTTCCACGTGCAACTTTTTGTCACTTATGACCTGCGTATAATTTTTCGTACCTAGTGTATGACATCCTACCGTGCTCAGATTTCGTCCCTCGAGACCCACCGTGTGAAGCTCCTCGTCATTGGCAATGGCCAGCAGTAGATGTCGCGGTGTGATCCGGCTCTTCTTGTTGTCCCGGGCAGCATTACCGGCCAGCTCCAAAAGTTCGGCTGGGGGCGGAGAGATTGTGCATGGGTTAATGTTGAGTAGTAATAGACAAATATATATATTGAGACGGGTTACACAGCACATTGGGTGGACGCGTTTGTATTGTTTTAATTCCCGAGAGGGTGTCGAAAAAGTCAGTTAGACGAAACGCGTCCACCCAATGTGCTGTGTAACCCGTCTCAATATAATGCATGGGTTAATGTTGAGTAGTAATAGACAAATATATATATTGAGACGGGTTACACAGCACATTGGGTGGACGCGTTTGTATTGTTTTAATTCCCGAGAGGGTGTCGAAAAAGTCAGTTAGACGAAACGCGTCCACCCAATGTGCTGTGTAACCCGTCTCAATATAATGCATGGGTTAATGTTGAGTAGTAATAGACAAATATATATATTGAGACGGGTTACACAGCACATTGGGTGGACGCGTTTGTATTGTTTTAATTCCCGAGAGGGTGTCGAAAAAGTCAGTTAGACGAAACGCGTCCACCCAATGTGCTGTGTAACCCGTCTCAATATAATGCATGGGTTAATGGTGCGAGGACGAGGAAATATAGCGAGGGGGATGAGGCATGGGCGGGATACGAGCCACCGCTTTTTAAAACGAAACATTGTCATTGGCCCGAGGAAGATACAAAAATGACACTTCGATGCCTGAAATTACCAAACTTCTCAGCTGAGGCGATCCCCGTTCCCCTGTCTCTCTTGTTAACTATCGCTATTGATTCTTACTGAAGGCATGGATCTCTCCCAAAGACCTTTATAAGGTCCCCAAGACCAACACCTGAGGTACCCTATGACAATATGACATATATCCAGTGTAGCACCCCCTCCCTTCCATCCATGACTTACCGCTGAGGTACTCCATGACTGCCGCAGTGTAGATGGGAGCTCCCACGGCCACCCTTCGCAGTCGCATCTCGCTGCTCTTCATATACCGATGAATACGACCGACGGGAAACTGAAGTCCGGCGCGGGCGGAGCGCGAAGCCGGGCGACGACGCTTCTTTCCCGTGCGGCTGGTACTCATGGCTGGCGCGGTTTGGTGAGCGAGGCAGTCTGCGAATGGGGAGAGAAGGGGAGGGTAAGAAAGAGGGAGAGGGAGAGAGAGAGAGAGAGAGAGAGAGAGAGAGAGAGAGAGAGAGAGGAGAGAGAGGAGAGAGAGAGAGAGAGAGAGAGAGAGAGAGAGAGAGAGAGAGAGAGAGAGAGAGAGAGAGAGAGAGGAGAGAGAGAGAGAGAGAGAGAGAGAGTCAATTAATATTATATTTTATTCTGAAACTAGGGAGGCGAGTCCAGTGGTCTAGCTTGTGTAATGTGCTCTGGGATGCTGCATCAAGTATTCTGTTGGTAGTGGGAACTTACTAAGTCTGTATTTACCTACACATCTTTACAAGGAAAAGAGTGAATGATCTGATCTAGATGCACAGGAGAACAGGAACTGTAACTGGTGGTGAAAGGGGAGGAAAAGGGTGTCCTGACATACTCTGACCTGAAGACAGAAGATCTCAAGCAGAAGATCAGAAGATGAGCCTCAGATTTATGTCTGCAATGGATTATCTAGATGCAATTCTGGAGCAAACTACAGAAATTCATGCAAGACTGAAGGTAAATGAGCTTCCATTTTTGCACAACACTTGAGTGCCATTATTTTACAGGCATTACAAAATGATACTTTAGCCTATAACTTAAGCTGATCCCTGCTTACTTTCATCCCATGAAGTTATCACAATAGCTAAATTAGCTGGTCAGTGGTTGAGTCTACACGAGGGGGCAGGGTCAGACAAGTGCAATTTTTGCATCTTGGTGGGGCTAGGGGCACTTGGACATTCCCTCTGAAATCAGGATTAAAGGGTGGCAAGTCAAACTCAGATATACATGGCCTAGTTAGCAGTTGAAAATGAAATTAATTTCAGCAGATTGCAGAAACCTTGCCAAGATAAATATGATCTCCTTGCAATATGTCATGTGGTGCATCCTGATATTACTCAACTGGTTCAAGTGCTGTTACTGCAACACAAACTGAAACACCAAAGAACACTGCATCATCATTCGTTATTCATAAGAGAAAGCAAGCAACACTTTTGATTTAACGGTCACTGAGGAAGGCCGGTTCTTCACGGATCCCCCACATTTTACTTACCTACCAGCAACCTCCTTTCTTACAAAATCCCCTGGAGATTGCGTTAGCGCGACCCGGGCCAACAACGAGTGCCGACGTGCCGCAGGCAGAGCACTGGCCAGTGGCCGACGAGGAAGGGGGCCGGGCAAGGGCCGGGGAGGGGAGATCGAATCGAGAGGGCGGGTCACTTGTCGCCTCGGGGAGGGGGGCGGGTCATCGTTATATGGTTACAACCATAACCACAATAGCAGTAGCCCTGAGGGCTGTTCACGGACCCTGTGTGCGGTCGGACCGCACACAGCCTCCAAGCTCCGCCCACTTCGTCCCTACGTCAGCCTTGCGTCACCGCACACAGCGACCGCTGTGGCCGGTCGGGACTGGCCACAGCGGACCGTCCACCGCACGCAGCCGTGACGTCAGAGCCGCCTACCCATCCCCTACCCCCACGCCTGCTGGACGTACCGCACACACCGCACGCAGCAGTGTGCGGTGCCCGTGAACACCCCTCTGATCGGCGGCCGGCTAGTACTCTTGCCCGCGCTCACATACGTGCACGTTACCCCGGCAACGGGCTATTGACCAATGAGAGGCGAGAAAAGTGTTACGTCACTGCGATTTTTCATATACCTGTGCCCCCCGGACGTGACGTAGTGTGCTCGCGTGCGTGCAGGGTCTCTGCGATCGAAAAAGAGCGCTAGCAGCGCGCCACTCGACGCCGCAATTGTCAAAAGCGGCGTGTTAGTATGCTTTATTATGAATGATGTGTGTAAAAGTAAGTTTTTATGTTGTTTATTTGGAGGAAATGGTTGGAATAAATTAGGTTATTTTTATTTCTGTTGATTGGAGTTTTTATTCAAAAGATTTCGGTCTATACCATTTATATTTACTGAAAATACCTTCGCTTGAATAAATTGCAGATATTTGGCAACTGAAGTGGTAGGTAAGCCTAAATGATATGTAAAAAGGTAAGAGACACCCTGATTATCATTTGAGAAACGAAAATATATGAATTTTCCTTATAAGACTCGCTCAATATGCTACTCCGCAGTTTATGCCCCGAGGGTGTCCGAGGGTTCCCGTTAGTTTGTCGTTGGCGCTCGGCTCGCGCGCGAGCCGACGTCACCGCCTGTGACGTCGGCTCGCGAAATACGTCATACCCTGCACACAAAATAGCCGGCTGCCGAACAGCGCTAGTGTTCCATGCTGTTATGCGGGCAGCTGCTCACGTAAGAAGATGATGATGATTTAACCTACATTATGAGGAGATTTTTGTGAAAATTGCTTAAAAATTACAAGATCTGTTTTGCAACAGAATGTATGCAATTTAAAGGCAAATTTTTTGGTGAAAAAAGCTTGCAATGTCACATGGTCAATGCAATGCCAGCTCAATGTCTAGCCTGCACACGAAAATTGAACATAAAATGAGAATAAAGACAAAAGTAACGCACCTCCCAAGCATAATATTTTCTTTTATGCGCAACCTATAATAAATGACGTCTATGGAGCATACAGAACAAATAAAAATTTCAACAGTCAAATGCTTTGAAAAATGTTTAACAGCCTTCTCACCTCATAATCTACAACAAAAACCGTTACATCGGGTCTTATAGATAAATTTTAGGCAAATGTTTCCCCGTTTTAGGCGTGTGAAACAAAAGATTTCAGTCGTAGCTTATGACGTAATATATTTAAGAACCAGCCACGCTGAGAGTGGTTTCGATGGGTTTCGAGGACGCTGCGTTGGCGTATTTGGCGTACTTGATGTGAGAGTGCGAATGATTTGATTATTGGGGATTGCGGTTGTTCACTAATTAAATTTGAAACAGTGGTTAGTGGGGAAAGCGAAATTTTTATTGAACAAATTATTGAACCAGTCACCCTGGTTGGAGTGGTTTTGAGGTCGATCTGTCAACGTATGTGAGTGCGTTTTTAATCTTTCACTTCAACTTGACCTTTTTTCAATTATGATGGCTCACTAAAGAAAATGGAAAATGATATGATATGACTTGCAGCTAAATCAGCCTGAAATATAAAATCAGTGCTCATTGGCATGGTCCATAACCCAGCACAATTGATAAATTGATATTGAACCACCATCACCATGGTCAGACAGACAGACAGACAAAACTTTATTCCAGACCATACTGGTCCATAAAAAACCCTTCACATCATAAAAACACACACAAACACACATGCTAAAAAAGACACACACTGCAGCCTAAACACAGGGGAGTCAGGTGACATCCATGTCTGCCCTTGTATACAGCCTTCCCAGCCATGACCTCCTGATCCTTGACTGGTACCTCAAACTGCTCAAACATATAGCTGCCATGATACCGTTATTGCTCAGATCAACCCTTTTCATGAATTTATATATTAAGCCTCTAATGGCAGCCTCACATGAGGGTACTCTAAAGTATGCACAGGTAGCACTGGTACTCTCAAACTTTGATAGCCCTAAGGTCCTTTTAAGAAGGTTATGATAACTAGTGACAAACCTCTTCATAGTTCCTTTTTTGAAACACCACCACAACTGCGAACAATACATAGGCTTACAATGAGCATTAAACAATTTCATCTTTACATCAGTACTACACATGTGAAACTTCCTTAACATTGCGTTCCCTTGGCGAAGCAAGACACGAGTCTGATTCTCTATGTCTGCATCATCGGACAAGTTATCAGTTATGTAGTGACCTAAGTACTTAACTCGATCTACATTGGCAACCGGCACCCCTCCCACATAAAACTCTCGTTTTCGTACATTCCGCAGAAAATCTGACCTACAGCACATTGCACAACTCTTTAGGGCATTGTACTTAACATCATGAGATATTCCAAACTCAGTACACACATTAAGCAAACGCTGCAATCCTACACTGGACGGTGCCATCACAACTAGATCATCTGCATACATTAAGTGGTTTACAATTCTTTCTCCAATATAGCAGCCTGTACTACACCTATTGAGCAGTGAACTCAGGTCATCCATATAGACGCTGAAGAGATATGGGGACAGAATCCCTCCCTGCCTTACACCATTTGACACTCCAAAGAACTCTGAGTATGTGGATCCCCATCTCACACACATCTTTTGACTAGTATACCAAAAAGACAATATTCTAACTAAACATGCTGGTACTCCCCTGCGGTTCAGCTTATCAAAGAGTAGACTGTGGTTTATTCTGTCAAAACCTTTACTGGCATCAAGGAAGCATAAGTGCACATTGCCCTTCATAGATCTATACATACTCACAACTTCCTTTAGAGCATATACACATTGATCTGTTCCCATACCCTTTTTATAAGCAAATTGATTATCTTGAGTACCTAAGAAAGGTTTTAACTTTTTGAGCAAAATGATCTCATACACCTTACTGATGATACTGGCTAATGCTACTGGCCTGTAGTTATTCATCGAACTGATGGAACCAGCCTTATTCTTTATCACAGGGACTAGAACTACTTTCATCAAAGAATCTGGCAACTTTCCATGAACCATGCAGGCTGTGAAACACAGACTCAGTAGAGGTACAATTCGACCTGACGCATTCTTTAAATGCTCAGCAGAGATCCCATCTAAACCACACGATTTACCTATAGCTAGCTCCCTGATGGCAGCATCTACCTCATCTACTGATACGAGAGCACTTTCGCAGTCCCCTGAAATATCCTCACTCAATTCATCCATCTTACTCACAACAGAGTTAAACAAATCTTGAAAATGTTGTTTCCATAAAGAGGCAATATCCTCTTCTCCACGTACCCCTTCCATCATAGTAGGTCTAGGTACCTGTGAGCCACTCATTACCCTCACTTCCTTCCAGAAACCTTTGGTGTCCCTCTCAACTAGCTTTTTGGCCAATGCTTCCCTGCATAACTCATTTTCATGCTTCTTAATATATCTCAAGGCACTTTTAAATCTAACCTTGGCCTCCCTGTGAGCTTCATAAACGGGGCCCTGTCTCGGCTTACCAGCCTCCTTCCAAACAATGAAATTCTCCCTTGATATCTCATATAACTCCTCAACATAGTCATTCCAGCCAGGTTTGGAAGATTGAGCACCATTCTCCCTCCTTCCCGCAAGTAGCTCTTGCCCAGCTTTGCTGAGACAATTCACTACTCCTTCATACAACACAAATATGTCCTGTACATGATTTACCTCTTTACAGTTTCCATCTGCACATTTCACAGCCTGTGGGATTTTCACTTTCTTTAAATAATGGTCTGTAGCATTTCTATACCTCGCTATGTCCTGTTTGGTTACTCTATCCCAATCAACATTCTTACTTCCAGCCATCTTACTCTCCGAATGACTAGGCAATTTGGGTATATTCAGATTTACACTAACAGGCATGTGATCGTCTTGAGCAATGCCATATCCTATCTCAATTGATGATATGATCCTGTGCATGTCCGCACTACACACTGCATGGTCTAGCCAGGACACAGTTCCCCAGCTACTTGAGACGAAAGTGAAGCTATCTGAAGGCAATAGCGCTTGACTAGTGTTAATGAGTGAATGTTCCTCACAGAACTCAATCATATACTTTGCAAACATAGCTTGTCCTGTCCGTCCTAGATTTGCATTCCAATCACCTACAAGGATATATGATGTTGAGCTTATCCCTTCTATTATGGAACTTAGCTCTCCTAATTTCTCGATATAGTCTAATTCATTTTCTACACACTGATAAGGCAAATACAAACTAAGAACAAAGAACTGTTTGTCGTCAATGGATACTTTAGCTCCTATGCACCAATCAACCATGGTGATTGCCCGACCACCTTTTTCACAGATGATGGATTCTCAGAAGTTTTGCCTCAAGTGGGATGGGTTCCAGAGCAGCGTCACCTCCGTGTTTGACCACCTGCGGCGGGACGGTGAGCTGGTGGACATCACACTATGCTGTGAGGGACAGCGTGTCAAGGCGCACAGGATGATGCTGTCAGCCTGCAGCCCTTACTTCAGGGAGCTGCTCAAGGTGAGATTATTGCAGTTGCTTTTTCTTAAATTTGGGTTTTTTATTTTGTTTTTGACTTCCTGAAGACACAGGTGTTTGTAGAAGTGAGAAGCCCGGAACAATGATATAGGTCGAGGTCAGGAAGGTGATGAGCTGTATGAGGATCCATTTTAAACTCATACATAGGTTAGAAGTGCTAGCATTGCCTCAACAATCCTGCATGGATTTGAATAATTTGACCATATACCTAATCAAAGAACACACCTTTCAATTGATTCCTTTGATTGATTTCAATTCAAAAGTGCTACCTTCTCACTTAACTTCTACACTGTAACAATCAGTGTTAATAGCATAGATTCAACAACACTAATGATGTGCACATTAATGATAATGCATAATGACATGCACCTTTTTCAGGACAACCCCTGCCAACAAATGGTGTTCTTCCTGAAGGATACAAGCGCAGAGGACCTGTCTGCCATCATTGAGTTCATGTATAAGGGCAGCGTGAACGTCAGTCAGACGCAGCTGGCCAGCTTCATCAGGACGGCAGAGATGCTGCAGATTAAAGGACTCAGTGGAGATGAGGAAAAGGTAAAAACTGAACTCCTCTTCATGTGTATAGTTGGACTGTAAAATCTCTTTAATTTCCCTTGTTCTAGCTGTACTGACTACTATAGTGTGTCAAAACCATAGATCCTTAACTGATGGTAATGCTAGTGTTGTCGTTTTTTTTTTTTTTTGCTGTTTGAAATTCTGTTGTCTTGACTTGCTTTTGGTGTTACATACAGAACTATAAAGTAAAAAGTAATTTTGATAAGGTGTGTACCTAGTGTTCATGATCACTGCATCTGCTGCCATTCTCTTGCGTTACCACTTTCCCGTGTTTTTTTTTTTGTCGTCGGTGCACTGACAGCAGTTGTATCCAACTAACCCGTCCCCGCCTTTCCGCAGATGCCGCCGTCACCAACTACCCACCAGAGCCCCGGACGCGCCGCGTCTCACGAGCCTCGACCCATGGCCGCCTCCACGCCTCAGAGACCTCACCGAAACGGAACACCACCGGCTAAGAGAAGGAGAGCCTCAGAAACGGTTACCGAGACACCTCCCCACCAACCACCGTCGTCACAGCCGCCATCAACACCATCACAACAGTCGAACGTACTACCGCAGAACCCTCCAAGAATGCCGTCGTCACAGCCTAGCCCTCCTCCAAGCTCTTCCACGCCGCTCGCCGCTTCATCAAACCCAGCATCGGCCCCAGTACAGACCCCTGCGGGACACCCCACGGAAGGGGGACAAGCGATTGCTGAGGAGAGCATCAAAGTGGAAAAGGTGGACCTGACTGAAGAGGAGGATGACGATGCTACCCTGGACTCGACGCTGGATTATGTGGCCGATTATGAGGGCGGATACAGAGATGGGCCCGATCTGTCCATGGCAGACGCTGCGGCCATCAGTAAGTGGACGGGATTTCAGTGTGGGGCAGGTTTATTCGGGTTTATTTGGTTTATTCAGTGTATTCAGGTTATTTGGTTTAGGTTTATTCAGGTTTATTTGGGTACGGTACAAGTTTTTTGATCACCGGGATATAAAATGGGATAGCAATTCAAAAACCTAGTGGCCTTCATGATTAATGATTATAATGCTAACAAAAATGCACTTTACCTACTCAAATGTCTTCATTTTATCATTGGTGTGTTGCTGCTCTGTTGTCAAACAACCGTCCCTTGGTGCTCGTTGAGTACCTGGTTAAAATTTGTACTTTTTTCAATAACTATATTGTGGCCTATCGTGTTTTTTATCTTAGTGTACAACAGTAATAGTGCTACTCGGTTTCGAAGCATCTAAATAACAAATATTATTTTACATCTCTTTTCCCATTCTGTCCAAAGTCGGTAGCCCGCTTTTACAGCTTCTTGTGACTCCCATTGACCTCCTGTGTACCCGTTTTCAGTGGGCGGAGGAGGCGGCGGGGGCGTGGCAGGGCCCTCTCAGCGACCCCCGGACGACGGCTCCCAGTCAGGTGGGTGTCACGCTACGTCCCGAAACCGGGACCGGCACGCCAAAATCGTCCCTAACTCAGTTCCTCTGGCATTATATTCTCCCTCTTCCCATACACTTTCACGTGACATAATATACACAACGTAGGTGTGACGGTCTTCTAAATTTGCTCGTCCCGAAGTTGTCGGGATAAGTGGCATACGGCCTGACATAGGACACTGGTCACTGATAGTCCTTGTACCGAACAACAGCTAAACTCTGTTTAAAGTAGAGGTGGAGTGCCAAAAAGGCCTACTGTCATCAATGACTTGGTCATAAAGTGACTTCATCAAAATGTAACGGGTGGATTGACGGCATCTACGATCTGCTGGAGGACCAGGCTTCGAAAAATCGCACATTAACTTTATTTCTTCTACTAGCCTGAGTAAATGTCTCTTCATCCGAAGCTCACTAAGCTTTTTAAGTGTACAACTTAGGCTTAGCGGTCTTCATTTTCTTCAGAAGTTTTCACTATGAACTTGACACTAACTCTGACTTTATTTGATGGCAACTTTTGGAGAAGTAAGATCTCGCGTGATTTGCACCAGAAGGGGCGATAGGATGTATTGGAATGGTGCTGCTGACAAAATCCAACACCAGAGGTTTCGGTCCCATGGTGCCGAAACGTGCGGTAGTTATTGTCGGCCCGCTAGATTGTTTTTCCAATTTCCATTTCTTCAGAATCGATCTTTATGTCCCATTCCCTTCCCGGCCATCTCCCTCTATGTATCGGCGTGTCGGCCCCGGAGTGTGAAGACAAAGGTGCAGCCAGACACTTCTTTTTCTGTGCAATACGTCTTAGTAGTTTTTACGTCTCTTGCCAAATGCCATGCTTGAACATATCTCTTGTAAAACAGATGTCACCGCTAAGTGGAGCTAACCGCGATGGCGATGCCATATTTAAACCTTTTGACAGGTTATTTTTGCATAGTTTCTACTTGCATCAATCAATATCTATAAATACAATACACTACACTACCCATTTTACCAGCACAACTCGGGTAGTTCTAAAAAGAGACTGTTGGTCATATATCATACTGAACGAGGCCGGTGTAACTAAATTTTAAAAAACCTAGATACTTGCCAAATTTTTGAACGAGGCCGAAGGCCGAGTTTGATATGTACCTATTTTGGTATGATTTAGTCTGTATTTTTCTGTATCCCAACGATAAGGTTATTTTTTAGACCGGAGCTCAGCCGACTTTTAAAAGAGGTCGTCCCAAAATCTTGGCTGAGTGAAAATTGGTGAACATTTTTGACCGTGGTCGATTTCTTCACACCATATTTCACTGCACCTCTCCGGGTAATGTATTAGGATTTGCCAGGCATACAGTAAAAAAAAAACGTTATTTAGTTAAGCTCAGCTTTTAAAAACGTTTGGTGGCTGGCAGCACCGTCTGAAAACAAATGCTTGGATCTGATCCCCATCTCGGAATCGTACGGGGACCCGCAGTTGCTACTGTACAGCGACCCTGAGTAAATTGTCTCAGCACCCTCACAGGGAACAACGATAAGCTGTCAGAGGGCACTCACAGAAAACTTCAGCTGCTCTTGTACAGGGACTGGCAGTCGACATCAATGTTATCGGTTGTTACTGGACAGGACAGACGGCTAGAGTTGGGGTTCGTGTACAGTAGCAACTGCGGGTCCCCGTACCCCTTTTGAATCATTCATTCATTTTGATTACTAGCGAGTAGCGACCGGTATTGAGATTATTTTAATTGCATAGTAACAATAACGTCTCTCATCGTTGTCGCTTTATGCCTCTATGGCCTCGTTTCATAAAGCGAGTCCGTAACTTACGGCGGTTTTTGAGCTTGTATTGCAAATGCATGTGAAGCGATAAACTAATTTCCCCTTCTCCCTACTGTTCTTGCTTGCAAGATAAATAAATTCAACGATTCAAACTAACGTCATCGCTTCACTTGCGCTTGCAATACAAGACCAAAAACCGCCGTAAGTTACGGACTCGCTTTATGAAACGAGGCCTATGTCTCTCAAACTAGCGTTAAAATATATTCAGACCGTTTTAGTTCCAAGCGAAAATGAGAAGTCCTGGCTGCACCTTTGTCCCCGCACAACATTCTGTGTCATTTTATTTGTGTGATGTGCCTTATTATGCCATCAGCCGTGCCGTTATGATTTTGAGTCTGTTTGGGCATGTATGTTTTTTTTTGTAGCTGCCTCCGCTCTTGCTTTTCTGATCACTCCAAAATGCTGATTTGCGATTGAATCATTAATATTTTTAATTTACTAGTCTGATGATACATTCGTTGCTCAGGAGAACCCTACAAGCAATTGAATTTATAATGCAAAGCATAGGTCCAAATCTTCCTTTTAAAGATACCTAAACCGATGAATTTAGTTAATTGTATTAATAGTAAATTTTGTTCTATCGTTGATGTGTTTTTATAGCTTGTAGAATGGCTAACTGTTTTACGTTTTTGTATTTTATAGTCGCATCTAGCATTTTTGATAAATGCTGCTAATTTGCCGTAAACTCATGGGCTTAGGCCATCGATTGCCAACGCTAAAATTTTTTTCATTTATCGAGGACATACTTGATGAAATATTAAGTATAACGCGAACTATCTCTTTGATGCTCGCTAATAAAATCGTTTTCGAGATTATATACATACGAGTGAACTCTTTGAAGATTAAGTGGATTCCGACTTCGCCTACTTGTGCTGGTGCATCGAGGTTAGTGGTCTTCACGTCTTTTACTTTTCCTAACAATTGGTTATGTGCATATGCTAGTGATAGTAAGACCTTTTATTTTGAGTGCATTTGTGCATTTTATTATAAGTGCATTATGTTGGGAACTTGTGGGGAGTGGGGTACCTACATTCGTGCAAAAAAAAAGATGAATCCATATATCTGCTCTTTGGTTGGTGCAATCAGGGGCGTCGCCACGGATTTTTGAGTGGGGGGGTCGGGTTTCTAGTCTTCACCCGATGGGTAGGGGTGTTTTTTTGCCACACTTCCCAGTTTTGTGCGTGCGTACGTGTGTGTGTGTGTGTGCGCGTGTAACAAATCGGCGCGCAGCGCCGCGAAATTTGGTATAACCTATTAGGTAGGTATACCTACCTACCTACATTACTTGCGTAAAAATTATCACTGGTCACTTAAGGTCAGGTCGCCATGTCAAGTTCAGTTATACGGTATACCTCTATCAAACTTTCCCCTCTCGCCATTCTTGTAGCTTTTCTCCCATAACTTCGAAATTTGGTACACTGTATACTAATGACGTATGGGGTTATACGTGTCAGCAATTCATGATTCTGAGGATTTACATCTATGATCTGGAGGCAGGTCAAATACGTGACCTCATCATTAGAAAATAATGAGAAATTAGAAAAAGCACGAACGCCTCCTGCTTTGAAAAAGTTCGTCAGAAGCGCAAAATATCTTTGGAGCCATGACAAATCAGCTCATCATTGCCAGGGACAGGGTGCAACTTATGGCGAGTGAGTAAAATTATTTATAATAAACAAATTATGGCGAGTGATGACTCGAAAGGTCATTAGTGGAAATGTCCATCGATGGCCACCAGCATTTTTTTTTCTACAACTTTTGACGAAGACGCGGTAGAGCGATGACAGCATGGAAGGTGTTCACTGTTCAGCTCAACTACACGGATCCATTCATGTGCAGCAGGAGCCAGGAGGTCCTTTTTAGATCATGACATAACGTTGACCTGAGGCCGTTTTAACGTTAATTCTGAATGGTCAAATTTTAACTCATGTGACGCGTCTCAAAGAGATAAACATGGTGGTGACAAGACAACATATGTAAATACCATACAAATTCACGGAATCTAAAGTTATTGCAAAGCAAATGTTTCGGCAGAATCTGTCCAGGTAGCTGTTTGCCTTCTATGGGCAAAACATAGACCTGAGATGACATCTGACGCGAAGCTAGCGAACAGAGGTGAATAAAACTAAAAAGCTGTCACCTACGCGATGTCTAGCTGTCACAATTTTTTTTACACGTCATCTTGAAACAGTAGGTACCATATTTTTTTACGTTTTCTCAACACCTTTGAAGGCCTAAAAAATGAAAATGAGGCTAGAATGTTATAAAGAAAGTGACCTTTCAAATTTCGGCCTGTGGGCATTACAACGCATCACCACATTTCAGTGACACAACAAAAAATAGGTCACTATCATCCAACTTACCTATGGGTCTGATCGACTTCCTAGCTCGTCCTGGCTTCCTGATCCAGTTTAATCAGAACTCACGAAAGGATTGTCAGTTGTCACTGATTCACTTGCCTTTACTCCAGTAGTCAGAACCAATTATCAACGCTCCTACCAAGTTTCTGGGACCGATGGTCATGGACCCCACCCCAGTTGTGGCCCAGATGTGACTTCCCCGTCCCAGCCGCCCGGTCCCTCCCTACTCCGGCGGCGGCCAAGGCCGCGCCGCACACTGGTCGGAAACGCTCCAGCGAGAGGCCAGCGGCCTTTCCGCAAAAGTTTTTTGCTTGTTATTCCACAACTAGTGAAGCAAACTTCATAAAACTTTGCATACCTTCTCTGTCATATGTAAGCTATCATTTGGATGTCAAGCACTGAATATATGACGTGAATCTGTTAAGTTATGACGTCATAATTGAGTATAATACAGGATCTAGCACCACTTTAAGTCAACAAGGGAAATTGGGAGCTGCTATTCGGGCACCGGGAATGGATGGTTTCATGCACTCCTTGCAAGGTCCAGTGCTTGACTTAAGCATTGTTGACTTTGCGTGACGTCATTTATGACGTCACTAAGGCCATGTAAGTTTTTCGTCAATAACTCCTGATCAGATGGAGCTAGAGAGTCGGGAAAGCCACTATTGGACTCAGGAAGACCTGCCGAATCGAATGATATGCGATATGACCTCCTCCAACCATTTTCGTGACCTGAGGGGCTCCGACCTGACCTTGACCCGAGGTTAACACCTTAACCCTCGCCGGCACAGGGGGGGGGGGGTTTGAT